GTAATTTTGTTCTAAACTTTTGTGGAATGTGTAGCATTATCTGTATGTTGTGGGATTGATGGTTATGTGCTTGAAACATAAATCATTGTGAGTCAATTTAAAGACTCTTTGAGAAACTGCAGATAGATGGCATCTCCCACTCATAAGATTAGCTAAAATGGGTCCAAATGTTTCTTCCAAGTGCTGGAAATGTAAATTGGCAACTGGGACATACTATATCATATGCGATTTTTGGAATAAGATTAAAAAATGGCTGGAAGAAATTTTAATGTTAGTGGCAGAGTCAAAACCAGAACTCTTTTTACTAGGCATAACCATGCAGAAATATGACAAAGGGGTATTCTGTTTGATGTTACACATTCTCACGGCTGCTAGGTTGGTATACGCTCAAAACTGGAGGAATAAAGGAATTCCAACAGAAGAAGAGATTTTATATAAAATTTTATCGTGTGCCGAAATGGATAGGCTCACAATGGAAATGAAGGATAAGACAGAATCAGACTACTTTGAAATCTGGGACAAATTTTTATTAGTGGTATGAATTAAGGAGAACTGCTTGGGCTTCAAGCTAGTGTTAAGACAGAAGTACATATAACTGTATATATAATTGTATTGTATAGAAGAATACGTTTATTTAAAGATTAAGAATGATGTATTAATTATATGTATTAAGAGGAACAAATTGTTAGGAGTATTTATTCTGGAATGTCACGTTATGTCCATTTTTGTTTTAACTTTATTATAAATAAAACACTTTAAAAAAAAGAGAAACTGCAGATAGAAAGAAAATATTGCAGAGTAAACAAATATACATGGAAGCAGTATTGTGTAAAGTAATGTGTAAATTAATGTATCTTTCTTACTAATCTTTACTGGTTTCTATTGATAGAAAATGGGTTCATAAGGAAAAAAAGGAAAATTAGGACATTTAAAAAGCTGTTGGAAATTTGGTCAACAAAACAGTCTTTATTTTTGTTTTATGGCAGCAGTTTTTTTTTTAAAAAACATGGCAATGAAGTGCAGTTAATAATGAAAGAGTAATGTACATGGTAAATATCAAGAGGAATCTGAGAATTTTTTCTTACTACTGTAACAAATTTGTTTTAAAAGGCATAGTTATTGTGAGTGATTTAATCTGATAAATCGCTTGTGACTTTTAATAAAATTTGTTAGTTTGAAAAGGGACTACCAGACTCCTTCTAATTTTGGACTAAAACAGCCCTCCTCCTACAAGCCAATGGCATTGATCCTTGTGATTACCATCTGACGCTTCTTTAATATGACAATTGAAAAAGCAATCTGTTTAAGGGTAAAGAAAGAGATAACATCAGTATATGGCAGAAGAGTAATTACATCAAGCAACATTGAGCCACTGAGTGAAATTACAGTTGATCCATTGGCTTAAGTGTGGGTGGAAGATGGACTATTTTGCTAGTATAAAAGAAAAGCACAAGGTTTATCATTTTGTACCTTTGTCAGACAAGCTGCAGCTAAGCATCCAAAACTCTCTTTCATACTCTCGTGAAAAAAAGGAAGGTAATATTATTTGTTAACACTGTACAGTATCTCTCTACCTCTGATTTATTCATTTATTTTGTCCTGCCTTTTATTATTTTTATAAATATATGCATTGTTGATTTGTAGAGAATATCAAATGAGCAAATGTTTGTAACATTTCATGTGGCTAACACTTAAAAACAGTTGCTTTTTCTTGCTAAATTAGTATATCATAGATACATTGCCTTGTGCCCACGAAGTTTCCATTCAGATTCAAGAACAAGCATTTGAGTATTCCTAAGATATAAAAGCTTGAATATAGAAATACTGTTCTTTTTATCTCAAAATTGGTGTTCGTGTGCACGGTTATGGGAATGTTATATACTTTTGTTTTGTTTTCAGAAGGTGCTCTTCTAGGTTGGAATCCTTTTTGCATTTATTTTCTTTGGATCCTCAAGCACAGTGTGCTCCATATAATATGCCCAACAGTAGGCAGGCAGTCTCTCCTCTCACTGATTTGAATCAAAGAGAAGAAACAAGAGCTGTTGCAGCCAATTAGGTTTGTGAAGCACCTTTTTGAGAAGTGCAAAATGCTGCAGCAAAAACTAGGAAGTCATTTCGCAGAGAGATGCTTTGGTTCTCAAGAAGCGTTTGCTTTACTTTCTAATCAGCTCCGAATTGGATTGTTATCATAATACATTTATTTTGGGAAGCTTCTTGATTTATTTCTGGCCTTGTGCCATTGAATCATAGCATTTCTACAGATTTTGTAGATTATGTATTTTCCTATTGGAAGAACCTCTGGCCTCAACTCACCTACTTTTGGACTTTGCCACTTCAAAAAATGTATATTGTTCCTGCGCTTCATAATTTAGAATGTATCTCCCCTATCTTTTCTAATGCAGCTGCTCTAACAGCGTGTAATCATGATAAAAGTTAGAAAAGTACTCAATTTGCTGATATTTTATTATTCCACACTCACAAGGATTTCTTAATCCAACAATGAATGGAAGGCACAGCAGCCAGGAAACACTTGTGGGATTTCAATGCTTGCAATTCACATTATTTATCATAACAACTGTTTAGATTTTATTTGTAAACCAGAAGCCAAATGAACACAAATATACATTCTGAAACTGCCAGATGAGGTGAGATTCAAAAGCTATTTATGCTATTTCTTTTTTTATATGAGTTGGGACTGAGTGGATTTTTGTTATTCTGGGGTAACTCTTGGGTGAGGTCCGGATTGGATGGTTTTCTATTCATTCTCCTCTTAAGAGTGAATAAAAAAAAAAAAGGATTAGTAACAATTGGTCCACTATATTTCTGCATTTTAAGTGGACAGAACTGAAGATAATCACAAAGAGTGTAAATGCTAGAAGTATGGAAGAATTCTAGATTAAGTAGAATCAATATGTGTCCAGGAAAGATCTTCAGTTCAAATATTTTTATTAGTTTATCAAAATATAAAATATAGATAAAGAAAAATGAAGATAATGGGAAAATAAGGGAGGAAAAGGGGAAAAGAGAAAAATATAAAGTAAGGGACAAAAGAAAAGGCATTGCCTTCTGGCTCCATTTGGTACAGTAGAATAAGGTAGTAGCATAAAACCTCAACTTTTTACTTTTATATGATAATGTACAATAGCTATTTCTATAACAACAAACCTATCTAATCAGCAAAACCAAAAATCAACATTTCATTTTTTCGCCACCTCAAGCACAAAGTCCAAAAGTGGTTTCCAAGTAGAAGTGTCCAGAAAAGATTTGCAGATTCAACTAGTAGCCAATAACTTATTCATCCTTTCCTAGGTTAGAGACAGATTGTATTTCATATGGATACTTAATGCATGAAGTGTGACAAATATAGGTGGATCAAATAGGTACAACACTGATCAAGGTTTAATTGCAATTGCAATTGAGGGTTTTTCCAGTTGAGGTGCAAAATCAAGAGAAAATTTAAACAGAACCCTCAGATGACACTTTAATGGAGACTTACCATATCCAGGAAAGCAACCCTAAAATTCACATTACAAACCAAGAAATAAGAAATAAATGTACAAAGCTCGTTCAATATCTCTATCAATTACAGTTTTTTCATATTTGTTTTAGAAAAAGCAACAATTTGTCATTACAGAAGCACATCCATTTTGCTATTTTATATTGGTCAGTTAATTGGTATATAATTTCATTAAGGATTTTTATTACAACAGTAAAACAGAAACTAAATTTAAAGAAAGAAAAAAGAATAACAAGAAAGAGTCAATTGTAAGAAAAAAGAAAAAACAAAAATAAAGAATATAATAAAGAAAAAGAAATATATAAAGAAGTGACTTCCAACCTTCACTGCAACAATGATAAACAAATGTAGTAACTCTTTACTCCCCATAAGGTTACAAACAGATATCTCATATCTCATTCCTTATCTATAAGCAAATTCATTAAACATCAACTTTTCAACCCTAATGTCAGCAAAAAGTTTGTAAAGGATTGCCATAACTTTGCAAATAAATGTCTTATTGTAACTTTGATCAAATATAACCAACTTTATATTCTTTCCTTTCACTTCTAGTAGTCTTCATCTTTAGTTCATTCATAGGATTTCTCTTCAATTCTTTATCTCCTCATACAAATTTCTTCAAAGATTTAACAAGCCTTTTTTGTAGGTCCAGTAAGAAAACATTTGGTTTGTCATTTGCATGTCTTTTTAATTAACTTCAGCCAGTCTCTTTTGAATCTATATACCACTACAACCCTTATTGTCTGTTTCATTCTTGTAAGTGTCAGTTGAGTGAAGGTACACATAGGGCAACAGTTTTTCAACCAAGGAACCTCAGAATGGGCTAACTTCAAGAATCTATCCAAAATCTGAAACCTATGACTGCCATGAGATTGAAATTTGGCAAAATTTGTTCAGGCTGCTACAGTCAGCTGCGGTCATGTGATTGTCATTTAGAATTTTCCAGCCAGCTTCCCACAGAAAAATCAAATGGGGAAGCCAACGGGAAGCTGGAAGTTCCAGCCTAGCAGGCAGGTAAGTGACTGCTGCTGGGTGGGGGAGAGAGTGGCGGGTTGCACAAGGGTGCAGAGGAGGTGACCAGTGAATATGAATCACTCCAATAGCTGACACTGAGCCACAGCACAACAGGGAGGAACCCACATCAATTCCCAAAAGCAGCTAGTATATCTTCCTCTGACCTGTTCATCTGGCCTTTGCTTAGCAACCTGGCATCCCAGCATAGCCTGAATACAATGCAAACTTCTAATGCATCTGACGCTGTGTCCGAAAATGTCTGATTATTTGCTTGCTCCATCTCTGTTCATCTCTGATCAGATCCACCCTGCTTTTCTAAGAACCTAAACTAATCCAATTGCTACCCACTTCTCTGTTTACTTACAGTATAGGTTATTTTGGTTGATTGCGCATTCTTGGTTATGGTGACATTTAAAGAGAGTTTGATTGGTTCAATTCGGGCTACCCAATGTTGCATCTTGAATGAGATGTTTTCTAGTAGAATCCTGGTTTAAACTTAAGGCTCTTCAATTCAGTTTCCTTGATTCCAAGGTAAGTATTGTAGATTGCAACCACTATACGAAGGTCTCTTGAAGGAATACTATACTGTATTTTTGAAGTAATGCTCACAGTTGTAGCCAATTCAGAATTCAAAACTCAGAAATCAGATTAAAACTAAGTCCACTAAAGTAGCATTAGGCAATCAGATATGGACTACAAACAGACAAGTCATGGAACAAAGAAAGTGTTTCATATGTCTTTTTTCAACCTTCTGGAGATAATTCCAGATTTTTGCAGCTAAGATCTGGTGGCTATCTGGTTTTAAATCCCTATAATTCAACCTACACCTTAATTGGATTTGTATGTACAGTACATGTAAGTCAATTTAATCAACAGAAATTAATGTAAGATTGTATGGAGGCAGAAAGTCCACTGTTTTTCTCTTTTTTATAGGAACATCATGGATTACTATGGAAAGTATGCCATTGCCATTTGTGCCTTGTTAGCTGTGTCTCTGAATATTTTTCAATCATTGCCAGAGGAAGAGTTTATCACACATGGTGAGATGCTTTTAAAATATGAAATAAAAGAAAACATATGGAGTTTATTGTTAGTGCTGATTCTTCTAGTTTAATAATGTAATTATTAGATTGCTTTATGTTTTCTAAACTATTAGATTGTTTGATTATATTGAAGGAAGAATGTATGTATGTATTTATTTTTTTATATTATTCAAAGTATTTGACCACCCATCTCACCATAGTGACACTGGGCAGCTAATAACAATTAAAAACACAGCAAACAAGAAAAATATAAATACATAACCAGCAAGTGAGATTAAAAAAAAACAACTGCTACAGCTATCAACATAACCACTTCACAAGTTCTAACTGACACACTGACTCCCATGTCTGCGTAGGTCTAAATTTCAGAAGGCTTAATCAAAGTAGATTGCCAATAAATAAGTTCAGTGTAAACACACTGGATAAATAAACATGTGGCATATACCTAATTAAATAAAAACAATTCCATCTATAGACAATTTTGCAGAAGTTGGCATACTTTTCAGGGACTATTGTGCAAAAAAAAATGAGAAAATTTATATTCTTTGATTTATATACTAAAAAAAGTAGGCCATGGTTCATCGGGATATTTTTTTAAAGCTTCCACATTATGGACTCAGTGAATGAGTATAAGGCGTAGAGCTTTCCAATAGGGACCCTCTTAATAGTTCACCTAAGAAGGCCCCCTTGCTACATTATTTAATGAGAAGTTAATGCCAAGCAAAGATTCATCAGGCTATGAAAAATATGGAAAACACTGAAAGCATTTATTTTTAAAAAATACTTCACAATCATGTAGAGAGATTGATAAACTATATCATGTGATCACACAGTATGTAAAGATGTTTGATGGAAAGACAAAAACACTGCAAAAAAGCTGAACAAATTTTCTTCATCACTCTTCTCTATGGAAGTTGTAGGTCAGAAACTTACAATTAAACGTACATTTATTTCCAGGAAATAAATGTACAGAACAGAGTTCTTCAAGGACACAAGATAAGATCTAGACCTTCCTGTCAACAAACTAAAAATGAACAGATCACTGGTCCAGGCGGTATCCATTTTAGGATATTTAAAGCATTCAACTTAATCTAACTAATGAGTAGTGCGTTTATTAAAAAATATATGACCTATCGATCAGATTAACTTGTTATCATAGCCTCTACTATGGCCAATATTTTATAACATGTTCTTAAATGAACCAAAATGGAAATTAGCAGCAGGATGGCCAAGTATGTTAATGTTCCAGTGTGGCAGGACTAATAAAAAGTTAAAGATCAAAAACAGAAATATAAATTCTTTGATTAATAAAAGTGCTCAGGAAATCTACAATAGAACTGATGCACTTTTGATAAATGGAAAAGATTAGTCTATGTAAACATGTGCGTGGACATGTTCTAGTGCAAATTGAATATTGATTTATATAATCCTCGTTAGTGAGCACACTATGGCTTGATTAAATTAATTAAAAATATCTTTACCATTTTACTAAAGAAGGAAAGCTGGTTCCCAGTTTGGAAGGAAAGAAATGAATGAAAACTTATGATTTTATTCCTGATGTTACACATTCTCATTCAAGTTTTTCTACGTATTTTTATTATGGATTAGTGTGTAAATTTTCCTAAGGACACTGAACTTAGAATGATTTCTCTGTTTGGAAATGGACTGCACATGTGTAAAAAGCTGAACGTCTCTGTCCCGTCATACAGTCTAAGCTCATTAGGATGCAGTGTAACATTCCATGTCAGAATGTGGAGACCTAAATGGAATCTAGAACAGGATCTAACCTTTCTTCTGTATTCTTTTTGTCTGTTTGTTAGATTGTACTGAATGTAAACTAATCTTGAACACTTACATGACCAGAGTGTTCAATGGCCGACCTGTGTACCAATGTGCAGGATGTTGTTTCTCAAGAGCTTATCCAACTCCCATGAGGTCAAAAAAGTCCATGCCCGTGCCGAAGAACATCACTTCAGAAGCGAAATGCTGTGTGGCAAGAGCTTTCAGAGAGGTAATGGGACTACCCCTAGGCGATGTACAGTGGGTTACAATTTTGTTTACTCTTCCTCTTCAGCCTAGTTTCCATATGGAGTATACAACCAGGAACTGCGAAGAGTGCAAAAGAGTGCTACAGGAAGGGACTGTAAGCAGAAGACAAATGAACATGTTTTGTTTTCAATCTGTGTTTGAATATTCTGAGTTTGTGCTTTCATTTAGGGAAAAACAAGAATTCTGCCAAAATATCAGATATGTGTGTGTGTGTGTGTGTGTGTGTGTGTGTGTGTGTGTGTGTGTATGTAGGTCTTTGGTTATTCGGGTTTTCTCCTGCGTCAAATTGGAAGTGTCTTGGCGATGTTTCGACGTTGCTCCTAGAAGCACGAAGCAGAAAACACCAGCCTGAAGATGACGAATGGGACTTTGTCGAAACATCGCCAAGACACTTCCAATTTGACATGGGAGAAAACCCGAATAACCAAAGACCTACATACAAACACCCGCGAAAACCTATATATATATATATATATATATATATATATATATATATATATATATATATATATATATATAATTGGAATGAATTCTGAACATTATATTTAATGTCCGTTATCAGAGATATGACTTGGGGACATTTATCCAGAATCTCCCTTAATAGAATGAACAGGAGGACGGTTGATTGATTGATTGATTGATCGATTGGTTGATTGATTGATTGATAGCATTTATGTGGCTGCCTCAGTCAAGTAAAATGATTCTGGACAATGTACAAAAAGTCAGCTATAAATACAAACCCCAAAGAAAGCAATACTATAAACCTAAAAACCAACTAAACCATAATATGCTGACCAAACTAAAATATACTGCAACAGTTGGAATTCCACTTATGTGCCATTACCCTGAAAGAAGCCCACCTCCAGAAGATGTATAACCATTAGGAACAGAGTCTAAAATAATTTTATAATCAATGCGATTAAATACATGGGTTGATGAGCTTTAACTGGCTGGTGCATGTTGGCTGAGGGGGTAAAGAGCTGCTGTCCAAGAGATGGAAACCAAATGTTTCTTTAGATGTTAGGCTAATTCTTCTTCCTCCTGACATTAACATTCCGTCTAGTGCAAATGTTTGTCACCTGATGTCACTCCCTCTTTGTGCTTTGGGGAAAGGTCTTTTAATTGCAGTGCATTATGAAACTGCTCAAACTAATGATTTTATAGAGGTTTTTTTCTTCTTATGACCCTTTAATCCCTTTATTCGGGGTGGAGTCAGGGTGACCGAATGGAGCTGAGAGTTTACTGGCTGGATGTCCTTCCTGACACCTATGCTGAGTTTGCAGTAGATATTTTCTCTTTGAGCCCTGATAGAGGAACATTTGCTGCTGCCTAGGATTGAACTCTCAACCTTACATGGAATAATAGGTCCTATTACATGGAATAATAGGTCCAGTTAACCTTACATGGAATAATAGGTCCAGCCAGTTTGCATTGGTTCAGTAGAACCGATACCTTACTTTTTCTTGAGTTCGGCAAAACAGTTACAATAAATCTGCGAGGTGCATCGTGCTGGTGATGCTGCCGCTGCTGTGAGGCATGTCGCTCTGGTGATGATGTCAATGTGACCCATGTTGTGTCAGTGATGATGTGAATGCAATGCGTGTTGCGCTGGTGATAACGTCAATGAGATGCATGATCGCTGGTGATGATATCAATGCAACGTGCATTGCGCCGTTGATGTCAATGAGATGTGCGTTGCACCGTTGATAATGTCAATGCGACGTGCATCGCGCCAGTGAGGAGGACAATGTGGTGATGACAAATATGTGAGGTGCATCGTGCCGGTGATGACGACAAACAGAACCAGTTGTTAAATTATTTGAATCCCACCATTGAATAGGTCATATACAGCATAATAATTGTAGAATTAGCCTAGGTTGGGGACTGAAGGAAGTTTGGTGCTACTATAGTTTCCAGCAATCCTGTTAAGATGGTGGGTCTTAAAAAGATATGTTGGCATTATAGTTCAACAGCACTTAGGGCTGTAGGTCACTTATCCCCAGCACAGGAAATCATTCCAAGTCTCCATAAAGACTGATGAAAGAAGGTTTTTCTTTAAGTGAGAAAATAGTACGTAACCTCACTGTGGTTTAAATCTGATTTTAGAGTTTGCTTCTCCAGGTTTTCATTCCAAATGATCGAACTAGGAAGATCGAGAATCACACTGACTGTCACTGCAGCACCTGCTACTATCATAAATCTTAATTCCTCTACAACTGGACAACAGATTCCTCTGCAGCTGGACCACAGATAGCTCAGAATGAAATTTTATCATATCCTAAATTTTTGTTTTCCTTAGTTTTGTAGTGAAATTATGTATATTCCTAGGTTTTCGCATAGGAGTGATCCTTCTGATCAGCATGTTATGAATACTCTGCTGTTTGTTCTCTATGTGCTCTGTCACACATTTGGATAAGCAGAAAAATATACATTTCTTCTGCAGATCAAATATAGAGTTATGCATGATAACCAGAGCCTTGTTTATTTTGTATGTCAGGTATGCATTCATGTTTGAATATTGTTTTTCAAGAGAAAAGACACCAATAGAGTCACTGAATATAATTTTTCATCCCAAAATTAATTTCAACTGAAAGAAATTTCTATGTTTCATGTGTTGATTCTTTTTTTTTTTTCCTCTGTAAGACTTTAATGACACAGTTTTAGTGGTGCTAGACATGGAAAATGCACTCTGATGCAAGGAAACTTGAATTTAATTAAAAGGAAACTTGCATCAATGCTTTCAAGTTGCTTTTAGAATTAATTTCTCTTAGCATTAGACTGGATATTCTTTTTTTAAAAAATATTGTCATTGTATTGAACATGCTGGCTAGCGTGCAAGGAGTCTACATAGCAGTACCCTGAATCAATACATAAACGACACACATACACAAACACACAGACAAATGCTATCTAAAAAAAATTCCATGTCACAATAAAGCAATTGCATTCTATAGAAGATTCTGAATGGATTAGAGCAGTGGTTCTCAACCTTTTTAATGCTGCGACCCCCAACCGGTCGTAAGTCGAGGACTACTCAACCGGTCGTAAGTCGAGGACTACTCAACTGGTGTAGTCCCAGAATGGGACTTTTGGCGGGCTCAGTAGGGCAGAGACAGCCTGGACAATTCCTATTGGCTTTTGAAAGCCAATAGAATTAGACTCTATTCAAGAGAGTCTATTCTATTGGCTTTCAAAAGCCAATAGAATAAAAGGGAGTAGCACAGCTAAGGAAAAGGGGAAAAAAATGGCGGACTGCGTTGTTTGGCGACCCCCGTGAAATGGTCGTTCGACCCCAAATGGGGTCCCGACCCACAGGTTGAGATCCACTGGATTAGAGCAAACCCTGGGCCATGGCCCACTACTGAGCTGTGGCTTATTTAGAATTGGGCCACGTGAGTGGCTGGCCAGAGTGCATCCGTGTGCGTGCATAGCTCAACTTGCATGAGCGATGGGCTGATGGGCACTCGTGTGGCCCAGTTCCCCTCTTTCTTCCCCCCCACCATCCGGGCTACCAAGCCACTAAGTTTCGGGGCTGCTGGATGAGAGAACCAGATTTTACCACCATCACCACCAGCAGCAGTAGCAGCAAATATCCATGCCACATTTCTATGTGTTACAACATTGGGTTATTAAAGGCATTGTCTCTGAGAGTGATCTTTTGTGGAGAGTACTATAGAATCCCAAGAGGTGAGCATCTCAGGCTATGATAATATCTGAAGAGTATTATCAGATGTATAAAAGATGCTATAACACCCTAGTTTGTACTGACTATTTCGGAAAGGATGGGTCTATCTTCAAAGGAGTTCTCCTGTGTGATTCCATCTTCCTTTCCTGGATATGTTCATAGATTTAGTTTATCCCAATTTATCTATTTATCTACAGGTAGTCCTCGAGTTTCAACCCTAATGGAGCCTGCTCACCAAGTTCATGACGGTCTAAAATCAGATCACCCATATGATCAACCCAATTTTATGACCTTTTTTGTGGTGGTTGTAAAGCGACACTCTAGCTGTTAAGCAAACCAGTGATTTGTTATGGGTGTGGTTTTGCCAATGACTGGAAATAAATGGGGGGGGGGGGAAGAGAATTGTACTGAAATAATTATTGTTCTTAAATGCCCTCATTGATCCCTAAATATTCAACTGTTTCTGGCGTCATTTCACTCCACTCTGTTCTGTCTTTTACCCTTTCCCGAATTCCCTATACATTCTTGAAAATTGAATGGGATTCAGTCAGCCAATATTAGCATTAATTTCTGGTGAATCAATGTTACTGTCTGATTGATGGTTTTAGATCACCATCTAGTGGAGGAACTCATAACTGAATTTGCACTTATATATGAACGAAGCTAAGCAATAAGAGAGAAGAAAAAAAAAAGGGGGGGGGGGAGGAGAATAAAAGCTAAGTGAAGAGAGGTAATCAGGCCAGTCCTTTGTTTAGTATACATCAGGGGTAGTCAACCTTGGCTCTTTTATGACTCGTGGACTTCAACTCCCAGAATTCCCGAGGCAGCTGTGCTGGCTCAGGAATTCTGGGAGTTGAAGTCCATGAGTCATAAAAGAGCCAAGGTTGACTACCCCTGGTATACATCAATGGCAGACTTGAAAGGGATATCAATGACAGCCTTTCTTGGGAAAATGAAAAAAAAAAAAAAAAACATGCCAGAACCATCCCAGAAGATAAACTTCTTCTCAAGTGCTCTGCAGTGTATCAACACCAGTGGGCCCCTGACCTTAAAAAGACTGTACTTAATTATCAAAAGAAAATGTAATGAAAGTGCATGAATTTTGCCTTACCTACATTATCTCAACCTTTTCCAATCTCAAGCTTTCATGATGTTTTGAGTTACTAATCCCATTATCCCCAGAAATATTGCCTATACATTTCTGGCTGGGAAGATGAGAATTGTAATCACATGCATTTACGAACAGGGCCAGGGTGTGTGTGTGAGACACAATGTATATGATGTCATTTAAATGCTCAACAGGCACATCAGACACTGGGACGTAAGCAATAGGGGGTATTTGGGTAATGGCATTGCCATGGGCATGTTATTATTTTTTAGTCATTTATGGCAGGGGTCCTCAACCTGTGGGCCATGAAGGGATTTGCAACCAGGCCGCAGAAATGACTGGTGAGTATACATACTCAGGCATCCTCATTTGCGTGGTTAAAGTCAAAAAGGGAAGAATACTTCATGCTCATCCTCTTCTGCAGAAAGAAAACCAGACTGCAAACCCATTGAACAGAACTCATAATGTAATGCATTGCAACATAGCCATCCAAAGATTGCATTAATTCCATTTTACACTTCTAGACAAATCATCACAACTGAAACATATTAATGTGGGACAGGACAGAGGAATACCACATGGATGTCATTCTACTTAGCACATTTGTTTATTTTGCCTTAAATCCAGGGGTACTTCCTGTGAAGATATTTTTTAAAACTCTCTACCTTAAAATTAGGTTTAACCAGTTAAATCCAGGGGTACTTCCTGTGAAGATATTTTTTAAAACTCTCTACCTTAAAATTAGGTTTAACCAGCTCTCAGTATCATGTGCTCCAAATTACACACAATCCAGCCTTCTAAGATGAGCTTACATATTCTAGATATCAGTGAGATTATTTCACTTGAGTCAATTCTTTGGAAACTAAATGTTATGTTGTTTCCTCTGGATACTCAAAATCTTTATTGGCATATTTTTAATTGATCGTCTGAATAAGCTCTTCAAAATCATACCTGAACAGCTCTTCAAAATGTCGCTTACTATCAGTGGCTTTCATTGGTTGAAATGGTCAGAAAGGAGGAAGTAACTTCACCTGTTATTATCATCACTTTTAAAGAAACCGTTATGTACTCAGATGAAATTTTAATTGCGTAATCTCAAACCATCTAGCAGAGAATAAACATGGTCTTCGTTTTAATCATATATAACCTTAAGCCTGATGTTAATTAGCAGTTTGAAAGAGTAGTGATGCCAAAGAGCAGGATCAAAGATTATGTTGTTACTGAATATTACAGTTTACATAGCAGTTGCCAAAGCTTTCAGCACAGATGTGAAAGCAGCTGTAAAGAACAATTAGCACAATTTCTGAACCTGCAGCAACGTTATCTCATAATGAATGAAAATAATATGTAGCTTTTAATACCGTGTATCAACTCCTTAATTCCAGAAGGATCTATGACAGACATGTCAAACTGCCGGCCCGTGGGCCAGATGTGTCACATCGAAACTGTGCCCACCCCAGTGCCGGCAATGGGGAAAAAGTCGCGATACTTCACGTAACGTCACGTGACATCGCGAGTTTGACATGCTTGATCTATGACATTATAAAGGCCAATTATAATCATTTTAAGTTCTTAGAATTGCCATAACTTTTTTAGGCATTTGGCAATTCCTCAAAAAAACCCTAACAGCACATGGTCAGTATTTATTCAGATTTAATATCTTGCATGTTTATTACAACCTCATCTAATGTGGTGCCCTCTAGCTCCGGAATGCCTTGACCATCATAAGTCAAGGACTACCTATAACGTTGTAAAAAAGACAAGGTCTGATCTTCTGAAGACGCAGCTTCATTTGTGGGTGAAGATCCTCATTGGGCTCAATGGATGCTGTTCTTTCACTTTTCTACCCAGCTTTTAGTGTGTGCATGTGGATTCACAAATAATATACCATAGTATGCTGTTTTGTATTTATAAGGAGAAGCAGGGAAAGGGAATTTTATCCAATCTGGTTCAAAGTAAAGCCATAGACCTAAAGAGGAGAGGTGAAGGAGGCATTGACTTTCCATTCTGAATAACGTTTAACCTACTGAAATTCAAGGCAGGTCTCATAAATCAGCTGGGGAAGCAAATGAGCAGGCCATCATGGGCACAGATGAATGTCCATAATTCAATGGCCTCAAGACACCTTGGGTCTTTTATTGTGCATTTTTTCACACGGAAAAAAGGAGAAAGCAAAAGTGCCGATAATAAAGTGTATTCGAAACTCATAGAATAGAAACTCACATACTCATGATACAAGGAGGTAGAAACACGTTTGACAGATTTACAGGCAAAAGAGAAAAATTAAGCTGAAAGCTAAGCAAAATGGAAATGTCCTTTTTTTTATAAGCCAACTTTTCTTCCTATAAAAGAAAACAAGGTTTCTAGAGGAAGTTGTTTCTTTCCACATATTGTAGTTAAGACCAGTAAAGTCAAATGACATTATTCAGGGTTGTTTTAAGGGTGTTCCCAACACTTAATGAGTTTTTTAAAGGCAAATTTAAAATCTTCATTAAAACTAGTATACAGCAGAGGATTGATTAAAGAATTCACATAGCCAAGCCATGTCAAAAAGTGAGCAACTTCTGATGACACGGTGCTTATCCTGAGGCCCACAATGAGCTCCTTAATAAAAAAGGGCAACCAAGACAAAATGAATGCACCTAAAATGAGGCCAAGGATGCGTGCAGCCTTTCTCTCCCTTACGCTGGAAATCTGTTGGCGGTCTCCAACCAAATCTGGATCGTTGTCAAAAGGAGGGCTCCTTGCTGAAAACTGGATTCTGTCAAATTCCGTGGTTGGATCGGACATGGATAAGTCTGAAATGCAAAAGGTCTGTGTGAGTTTACAACTGGCAAAAGAATTCTGGCTGTCGGTGCTTCTACTACTGAGATGCCTGCTTGACCCACGTTTTTGGTACAGGCTCTTTGCTGCATGATAAATTCTGTAGTAGACGATCAGAATGAGGGTCAGCGGGATATAAAACGCTCCAAATGTGGAATATATGGTGTAAATGACATGACTGTGTTGGATTTGGCAGTCACTGGAATTGCTGTTGCTAGGGTGGTTTCGCCAAAACAATGGAGGCACTGAGATAAAAATCGATATTGCCCATACCGTGCAGATCATAATACCAGCTCTCTTGGCAGTCCTTTTCCTGGCATATTCAATAGCATCTGTAATTGCCCAGTATCTATCCAAGGCAATGACACAAAGGTGGAGAATTGAGCATGTGCAGCAGGTCATGTCTATGCTCAGCCACACCTCACAGAGGAAATATCCCAAGGTCCATCGGTCCATCACTATATAGGCAATGCTCAAGGGCATCACCAGAATAGCAACAAGCAGATCTGTAAGCGCCAGCGAGCATATTAGGTAGTTGGCTGGCTGGTGGAGCTTCTTCGTTGTGCAGATTGCCGAAATGACAGAAGAATTCAGTAGCATGGTCAGGGTTGTAATTATGGAGAGAGACAAGGTAATTAGCAAATTTTCAGTGACAGTTTTAGGTTTCGTAGCCACGTTGGCTTCTGGAGTAAAGTTAGTATGATTCATCTTCTGTGGCCTTCTGGGAGTCGGGGTTAAAATTTCTCCATTCCAAGATTACCACAAGCGCTCCAGATTTGAAATTTGACATCCATACTTCCCATGTGTTCCAGACTGAAGCACTTTGTTAGCTTTCTGATTTCCTGGAAGATGAAATATACTTATTAATACTAGATCATCTGGCTTTATTTATTTTTTACAATGTTAAAAACTACTTCTGTTTAAATTTTAAACTTTAAAAGAACATGTAACCCAAGGGCAACAAAATATAGCACAAATTAAACCAATATGCCAAACTTTTAAAAGTGAATTAATGCCAACAACACTGAAGAAGCTAAGCAGTGGTGGGATTCAAATATGTGAAAAACTGGTTCTCTGTGTGGATGCCGTTTCTGAAAGTCCATTCTGGGCCTGGGCAACAAAAAGTCAGCTATCGGTTCTGCCGAAGTGGTGCGAACTGGCTGAATTTCACCACTGAAGCTAAGCAATAAAATTCTGATCAGTGATTCACTGGAAAAGCTTGGAGGGGCAAGAAAGATCTTTTAGGCACTATAATTTAAGTGACTGATCCTGTGGGTCAACACAGTGATGACCTGCCATTACAATTCTTATGGCCCACTATGTCATGATGTCACTTAAATCTGTTGTCACATGTTCCGACTAAAGAAGCACTTCAAAGAACTTTCAGGCATGTTTCCTAAAGTCTTTATTTGCAGAGCTACAATTTTTGCCGGTCACCATGTTGGACTGGTTAATGCCAGAATCTGAACTTCCTGTCGCTGGCATCAAGCTTTCCTTGCTCAACCCCTCCCTTCTCATGCAGTCACAGGTCACATTATCCAATTAGTGAGAAGGTCAAACGTTTACTTCCTCTTTCTTTCCCGGGCTTTTTCCCCGCTCAGTCTAAGCTAAGTATTAACCCAATAAATGCCAGACAGTTTTGCATATTGTCAAAGCAAGAATATACAGTATTTGCAGCATTGACATCTGTGTTGTACTGTAGATTCTGATAAAGTTAAATATGATGTTACTAGACCAAGGGTAGGCAACCTTGGCTCTTTTATGACTTTTATAGCTGGCTCAGGAATTCTGGGAGTTGAAGTCCACAAGTCTCATAAAAGAGCCAAGGTTGCCTGCCCCCTGTACTAGACAAATGTTGCCTCATAATGTTATATAATATAGTAGTTGTGTTTCACATTTTTCCTTCACAAGTCAAATAAACTGATCTTTCAGACTAGCTAACATATTACAAATATATTTATCTTCCTTCCATTGGCTTCTTCAGAAGCAAATTGTTTGAGAAAATTATACTAATTCAGTTCAGTTACTTACTCAAGATTCACACAAAAGAAGAGGCACAACAATCAAATTAGCTTCTACTGGGTTAATACAGAATTTACCACATTGTGGAAGAATTCTGTCCTTCAAATAGTTGTTTATAGTTTTTTTATCTCAAATCATTAATTAAAATATTTAGATCTGTTTTCTGCCCATAGTCAATTGTATTGAAATGCATGGCTACAGAAATTAAACAAATGAACAAACAAACACATCTTAAGCTCAAGTCACTTCAGGCTTGAATCTTACTACTGTAAGAAGCAAAGTTTAAGAAGTTTCCATGAAACCACTGTTAAAAATCTATTGGATTGGAATTGAAATTGAACCCTTTGTATTTGGAATGTTTGTTCTTTGGGGAGGAACCAATTACTTCATTGGAAAAGCTCAAACTAGATTTATTTATTTATTTTTTACTAAATCCATCTATAAATAATAAATGATGATGAGAATTAATTTCACCTCATAAGAATTGACATTATTTTCAACGGGCAAAGATAAAATAAGATTTTTAAAAACTTGAATGGAGAGTTCTTGGTAAAGGAAAACAAAATAGAATTTTTTTCTACTTACACATTTTCTCTAACAGTTTTGAGAAAATAATTATGCTCCATGTCAGGGGTGGGTAACTATAGTCCTTTTATGACTTGTGGACTTCAACACCCAGAATTCCTGAGCCAACCGTGCTGGCTCAGGAATTCTGGGAATTGAAGTCCACAAGTCATAAAGGGGTCATGGTTCCTACATAGCTCTGTGATTTAATGTCTTTCCCTGCAATATCTGAGTTAATGAAACCAGGGTTGTAGGTCAAAGGGCACAGATTCTTAGCACTTCCAGTAACAATTTGTAAATAAGGTAATGAGAATTTTTTTTTTGCATGTGATACAATAACATCAATTGGTATTGATTAATGATTGTTCAATCATTCAGTTACTTCTGATCACTAATTAAGATCAATAGAAATCATTTCACCAAAGTAGTGATTTCTTTTAAGTGTCATCAATGGTAGTACACAAAATGCTGCTTTCTGTCTACTCCTTTTTGGACTGCCTTTGATTTTTCAAGCATCAATAGGCTTCACATTAATAAATAAATGTTTTGGAGGCATAATCAAATTTTGAAAATGGTCATCCCCCTCAAAGAGGAAATCTGGGTGGTATACAATAAAATATTAAAAATATAAAAACCATATCTAAAATTTAAAAAAGAGGAAAGCTTTAAGCTTTGTGTTCACTGTTGGTGATTCCAGTGGGTTTTTTTTCATTTAGTATTTAATTGATATTTTTTTGTTATGCCCCCTAGTATTTTCAACAATACTCTCCAGCTCCTCAGTTCAAAGGCATCAATTCCTTTTCGTTCAGCCTTATGACAGTCCAATTTCACAATTATATGTTACAACTGGGGAAACCGTGGATTTAACAACACATACTGTATCTTTGTTGAGGAGGTCATACAGCTCCCACTTTTTTTGTCTAGATCTATGATAGTCTTTCTCCCAAGTAGCAGATGCGAAAATTTTATATATCTTGCTGCTTTTGTTTACAGAAGAAAAAGTGTTTCTCATTTTACCTCATTTTACTTTACCTTATATTGCTGTGCTATTTATATCACTGTATTCACTTGTGGTCATCTTTTGTTTTAGGGGGAAAAAAACCATCCTCCATATTTTTCTTTCTTCTTGCTTTCTATCCTTAAAATTCTCCTTTCTATCCCTAAAATTCTGCTTTCACACCATTATTCTAATATATCTTCAATAACGCGGGATCTTTCCCTGGCTGCTTAAAACTTCAGATAATTCACCTCTCAGATAGAACTCAGTTAAGATTAATGCATTGGACTACAAGTATAGATAATCTGAATGTCTTCCTGTTTACACTTATCAAAGCTAATTTAATATGTTTAACTCAATACGTACTGAGAATAGTTGCTTCTAGTATTGATCGTAAGTGCTAATAGCACAATTTCCTCATCATTAATGCTCATCAAGATGTTCCCTCTGTTATCCTTTTCATAATTTCCTTTCATTGTTTGCATTGTCCTACTGGCTGTAAGGCTTCTCCATGTACAAGAAAATGTGTTTAAATTTGTATCAAAATGCTGTATGAGGAGGAAGACAAGTTGCACAAGTTGCACCAGGCAAGTTGCACCCAATTCTAGGGAATTTTAAGGTAAAGTGTGTATGCTGCCTGTGTGTGCTGTTAATTTTTCTTAAGACAGACATCACTATTTCATGACTGCAGTCACCATCCTTATGTATGTTTTAGCCAGGAAGATAAATTAGTACTCCTCATATTCTTGGCTTAGCATTGTTCGTTAATACAGGTGGTCCTCAACTTACGACCACAATTGAGCACAAATTTTCTGTTGCTAATTGAGACCTTTGTAAAGTGAGTTTTGTCCCTTTTTATGACCAGTTTTTAAGTGAATCACTGCACTTGATAAGCTAGTAACCTGATTGTTAAGTGAACCTCATTGATTTTGCTTGTCAGAAGGTTGCAAAAAGGTGATCACGTGACCTTGGGACACAGAAAGGGTCATAAATATGAACCAGTCGCCAAAGGTCTGAATTTTGATCGCATGATCACGGGGATTCTGCAAAGGTTGTCACTGCGAAAAACGGTCATAAGTGACATTTTTCAGTGATGTAACTTTGAATGGTAAGTCGAGGACTAGCTGAATAGCTTTTTAATACTGTGGGGCAGATCAGATTTTGCACCGCAATGTCAAAAAAACCCAGTGCTATGTTTAAAAATGGCTCTGAATATTTTGTATCGGTTTTTCATTCAGTTTAATGACAGGCTATCCAGGACGATGTTCTTCCTGTTATTGAGTGATGGAATCCACATGAAGTAGAGAAGAGATTTTGCTTTTTTTTTTTTTCCATTGTGCAGTTTTCCTTCCAAAGCTCTGCAGCCACTCTGGCTTCCCTCAACTATTTAAAGCAGTGGTTCTCAACCTGTGGGTCGGGACCCCATTTGGGGTCGAACAACCATTTCACGGGGGTCGCCAAACAACGCAGTCCACCATTTTTTCCCTTTTTCCTTAGCTGTGCTACTCCCTTTTATTCTATTGGCTTTTGAAAGCCAATAGAATAGACTCTCTTGAATAGAGTCTAATTCTATTGGCTTTCAAAAGCCAATAGGAATTGTCCAGGCTGTCTCTGCCCTGCTGAGCCCGCCAAAAGTCCCATTCTGCAAACGGTGCTGCACCAGTTGAGTAGTCCTCGACTTACGACCGGTTGGGGGTCGCGGCATTAAAAAGGTTGAGAACCACTGATTTAAAGCATCTATATTGGTGCCTATTTAATATTGAGTTCTGGGTTGTTCCCAATCAGCAATTAAAATAACACGCTAAAAACAACATAGTATTATATTAAATTTATTAAAATGATTTCAAAAAAATCTCAATGGAGGACCTCATGAGGGAGCTCTTCTTTATCAGACTGGGGAGAGTCGGTAGGCAAAGTGAGTAGCCTTACAGGGGAAGAAAACAAAATACTATGAGAAGTATACTTACATTCTGAATGTGTGTTTGTATCCACACCCATAAATATTCATTTTTTGCTCTGCATAGCCTCTTGCATTTTTGTTTAAACCCACTATGTTCCATGCTTCTTTTATTAATAACCAATGAGAAAAAGGAAGCAAAGGGAAAAAAGATAAGAGAGCTGCAGAAAACAAGCCATCAATCGGCATCATTTGGAGCCGACAAAACAGAAATAAACTAAAGAAAGGGTTGTGTGGCCAGTGCAAATACAGAAGGTTTTCTTTCCCTGGGAAAGAAACTGAAATTGTCAACAAAACTAAAG